GCACAAAAACCTACACATAGATGTTTATAGCAGCTTTATTCATAATTGCCAAAACTTGGAAGCAACCAAGATGCCCTTCAGTAGGTGAATAAATAGATAAACTGGTACATCCCGACAATGACAATTATTTTTCAGTGCTAAAAAGAAATGAGCTATCAAGCTATGAAGAGACAAGGAGGAACTTAAATGCACATATCTAAGTGAAAAAGGCCAATATGAGAAGGCTACCTTCTCTATAATTCCAACTATATAACATTCTGAAAGGGGAAAAACTATGAATACAACAAGAAAGTAATTGCTAGTGGTGGTGGGGGTTGGGGAGAGAGAGATGAAGAGGCAGAGCACAGAGGATTTTTAGGACAGTGAAAATGTTCTGTATGATATTATAACGATGGATATATATTATACCTTTGTCCAAAACCATTGAATGTACAACACCAAGAGTGAATCCTTAGGCAAACTGTGGACTTTGGATGATTATGATATGTCAATGTAGATTCATCCTTGGGAAAAAATGACCATTCTGGTGGGTGATGTTGGTACTGGGGGAGGCTATGTATGTGTAGGTGTAGGGAGTATATAGGAGATCACTATACTTTCCTCTCAATTTTACTGTAAACCTAAAACTGTTCTTTAAAAAAAAAAAAGCCTTAAAGGGGCCAGCCTGGTGGCATAGTGGTTAACTTCACGTGCTCTGCTTCAGTGGCCCGTGGTTTGCAGGTTCCGATCCTGGGCAAGGACCTACACACCACTCAACAAGCCATGCTGTGGTGGTGTCCCATATACAAAATAGAGGAATATTGGCACAGATGTTAGCTCAGGGCCAATCTTCCTCAGCAAAAACAAGAAAAAAAGTCTTAAAAAAAACAGAAACTATGGTACAGGAATAAATAGGATGAGAAAGATCTATATAAACAGATATGGAGTAATTCCAGGACATATTGTCAAGTTTTGTGTAAGAAAGGAAAATTTAAAATTTTTCTTTTGAATAAGAAAGGAAAATTTAAAAAATATATGTATCTGCTTATTTTTGCAAAAATAAATACAAGAGTGATAAACCAGAAACTAATGACACTGGTTGTCTACACAGGGTAAGTGGGAAAGGGCTGGAAGGAGAAAGGGAGGACACTTCTTCTGTCTTTTTTCATCTAATTTTAACTTTTGGAACTATGTTGATATTTTACGTACTCAAAAAAATAAAATTGACTCAACAAAAATGGGAAAACCTCTAAATAGAATATAAACAGAAACAAATGAATACCACTGTATTTCAAAGAATAACGTAACTACACTGAAGGGGGGACAACATTATCCAAGTAACGTTGAAACAAAGAATTCTGACTATAAATTATTAGTCTAGAGACACAAAGAACTGGAAACATATCTTGAATTGTACTTAGTAGATTTATTTGTCTCGGTGGTATTGGTTAGCAATTTTGATGTTCCTTGTATTGTAGGGTTGAGCAAATGAGTAAATATGTTGATGATGTTGAGAACCAAGTTTCTCACTATTGAAGAAGACAGATACAATTATAAAATGAGAAAGGCTTAGAAAGAACCCTGTAGTACTGGATGGTGATTAAACTCATGGCTTTTTATTATAGGTAGTTATAAATATAAATAGAGATAAAAATAGAGAGACACACACACTTGGCCCGGCCCAGTGGCATAGTGGTTAAGTTCGCGTGCTCCGCTTCAGCAGCCCGGGGTTAGGATCCCAGGCACGGACTGATGCACCACTTGTCAAGCCATGCTGTGGTAGTGTCCCATATAAAGTAGAGGAGGATGGGCAGGGATGTTAGCCCAGGGCCAATCTTCCTCGGCAAAAAAGAGGAGGATTGGCAATAGATGTTAGTTCAGGGCTAATCTTCCTCACAAAAAAAAAAAAGAAAGAAAGAAATAGAGAGACACAGACAAAGAGATGTAGACATAGATTATACCTTCGTTGACTAAAGGGGCCTGGATGCAACAATACCCCAGAAGTAATTAGGGCACCAGCGCTCACTCAATGGAACCAGGGCTCCTTGGAGATACGGTTGATTCCAGAGTTAGAACAAGGAAAGTGCAAGATGAGCCTAAAACAATTTTCTTTGTGCCTAAAAGTAAGGAAGTGCTCAGAAATGAAGACGATATGTCAAAAGGATACAAAAGCCCACTTAAAGGAGTTCCCACAGGCCAAATCTGTGACAATTTGAGTACCAAAAATAAGTAATGATTATCATGTATTTTAATTCATTGGAATAAAAAAGAATCCATGAATCTATACAGATAACGAACAAATAATAAACAAACAAATAAGAAGGGAACAGTAGTATGCTAATAAATGCAGACAGAATAATGGTGGTTTAAAAAATCACCTTTTGCAAATGTCATAGTAAAAATTGAATCAGGGAAGAATTATGAATGGATACTAAAGCCAATGGGTAAAAATTTAAGGAGAAACAGGACATTTATAGGATTTCCATTATTCCCCCTCACAAATAACATAAACTACAAAGGCAAAAATAGTCTTTACAGAGCAGATGCCTGGTGAACCCCAATTTCACCAAGTGATGAACTTTGGCGTCAATAATAACGGCACAAACCACCATCTTGTGCTTCCAGATATGAAGCACTGAGGACACACTATCACTAACACTGCTCCTGCCCAAAATGCAAAACATGGACCCAATCATGAGGATGTCAGACAAGCCCAAGCAGAAGGACAGTCTACAAAATAAATGACCTGGACTCTTCAAAAATGCCAATGTTATTTGGTAAAGGCTGAGGAACCGCTGTAGCTTATAAGAGACCAAAGAGAAAAGAAAACTTAATGCAATGAACGATTCTGTTTTGGATCCCAGGAAAGAAAATATTATAAAAGACATTATTGAAACTATGATAAAAATTTGATTTAGATCTGTAAATTAAATAACAGTATTGTAACAACACTAAACTTCCTGATTGGGGTTGTGTGAATTCATGTCCTTGATCTTAGGAAATACACACTGAAGTATTGCAGGGTAAATGGGCAGAAAGCTCAGGGAAAAGTAAAGTTATATGTAAATATACACAGCAAGAACATTATCAGTTGATGAAGCTGGGTGAAGGGTATACAAGAATACACTATTCTTGCAGCCATTCCCTATCTTTGAAATTCTTTCTAAATACTTTTTTTTTAATGCCACTAACTTTACATTTTACATTTTCAGATTTTTAAAATAAAACAAGCCCATTATAAAATATGGGCTACATACTGAAAGTTATAAAGCAGCAGTTGCAAATTCCCTGTAATTCTACGTTCTGTTAAATTGTTGGTGTTCCATTCTTCAGAAGGATTTTACTCCTACATACTTCTTTTTAATGGGATAATGAATATATAAAAGGAAGGTATAGCATCACACAATCTCTATGCAAAAAAATGTAACTTTAATATTTCTCTGATCGAAATTTTTATGTCTATGTTGAGCACCCATTTGATCTGATACAGAAAACAATTTAGTCCCTTTCAGAGAAAAGCAGAAGCAACGAGAGCGCCCAGAGTTCAACTCAGTTCAGCGTTGTAACCGTCCTCCACTTGTCTCCCCCCAGTGGAGTCTCAATTCCGGGTGATCTCTTCTAGTTTACAGGCCGCAGTGGGGCAGGGGGACATTGATTGGGAGAACTCTACCTGTATACAGGATATTAACATTTTTGCCATATAGCTGGATAGTTTCTAATTTGTTTCTTGTCTTTCAGCCTCTCTATATTGTACATTTCTCACTGCATAAATTTTTTAACTAAATCCTACAAGTGGAGAAAATATGTAAAACAAAATCCAATAGCACTGTTAACATTTCAATTAGTTGTAATTAATGACCATACTTCAATTGAAATCCTAGTGGAAATTCTTTTTCTGAAGCTCAGGTCACAAGATTTTTCATCACCAGCAAAGTCTCTGTCCCCTGGACAAACTGGTCTGTATATCAGAAATGAATCTGGAACATTTCCACTCCAGCAAACCAGAAATCTGACCAACAGAATTGCCCCTCAAATAAGTACTGGGATCTCTGTGATTAATAACCACATTTTGAAAAATTAAGGAAATACAGGTACAGAAGTTGTTTGTTTTTTTTTTAATTTTAGGAAATACCAAAGGTCACAAAATAAATATTTTATCTTCCTCTCTCTCTTTACTATTAATTCCTGCCTCTCCCCACCCTGGGCTTTATTATATAAATCAGGGGTTGACAAACTACAGCCTGTGAGTCAAATCTAGCCCCCTACCTGTTTTTGTAAATAAAGTTTTATTGGAATAGCCACTCCCAATTCCTCTCATATATTATTATGATACCTCCTTGATGTAACGGCAGAGTTGAGTAGTTGCAACAGACTGTATGGTCTAAAAAATTTTATTTCTGGCCTTTTACAGAAAAAGTTTGCCAACCCTTAAAAAATGACAGCACACGTACTACACATGCTACTCTGCCCCCTGCTCCTCATCAACAACAGCCACACAGTCAGTGTACAGATCTGCTTCTTTCTTTATAGTATTGGAACAGCAGTCCACTGTTTAAACAAATTCCACAACTTGTTGAACCAGTCTTTTAGGTTGTTTTCTGGTCTTTGCCACTGTAAAAGATGATATTTTCATGCATTTGTGCAAAGTATATGTGTTGGCAAAGTTTTTACAAGTGAAACTGTTGAATGAAGATAACGTGCATTTTTTATTTTAATAAATATTGCATAATTGCCAAATGTAAAAAGTTTTATGACAAAACTGATTGTAGAATGGATTCAGTTCCAAAGTGATACCTACTTCTCTTATTCTCCCTTCTGTTTAGATAATGCTGGGCAGAAAAATATAGGCAAAGATTATAAGAGAAATAATATAATAAGGAAGGTATAACAGTATAATCTCTGTGCAAAACAAAATGTAACTTTAAAATAATACATGGTCATGGAAATGAGAGAAGGGACTATGTATTGAAAATTGTGCAACATGGCTTTTAGAGCAGTTAAGGAAAAATAGAAAACTTTATTTTATGATTCTTCAACAGAAAAAATCATTTACATTTTGCCAAAACTCTTTTACAGATGAAATTAAATAATGGTTTCAAATGTGGGTAAATATGTCTTTAGTTGCAAAATTTCAGAGACAGGCTGTACTTTTTCCTGATAAAAGTCAAGTCCAGTAAGAAGTTCCACATCGCGGACCCGGGCAACGTGTTCTTTCAATCTTTCTTCAATCCATTCGGCTTCCAGTTTATCTTCCTGTAAAAGAAACAAAAGGCTATTTTCTATAGGGTATGATTTTTCTTTAACAGGAAGATCTTTATTACTTAGAAATCGTCCTTTTTCCTTTTTTTTTATTGAGGTATAATTGACATACAACATGATACTAGTTTCAGGTGTACAACATAATTTGATATTTATTCCTGCGGTTTTTATTGCCTTAAATCTTAATTTGATACAGCTAAATTTTGTTGTTTATTAAAATAAAAATAAAACCAAAAGTACAAAGTATACTATAACAGATCACCACAAAGTCATAAACTTTAGCTATTTTTATATTTACTTCAGATAGAAATTTTTTAAAGAAATGAAATCTTACGGATAAAGTCCCCAGTGTTCCTCTACTCAGAGCTAATCATTATCATGAGTCTGTGTGAATCCAGATTGTTGTTAAAATTTTACTGCACATCTATATACAATATATGGAGTTGATTTATGAGTTTTGAAATTTCTATAAATGATATTGTAAGTGGCATTCTAGAATTACTTTTTCATTTAATATTATGTTTATAATCTATCCATAGTGACACATCTAGATCTAGTTAAGTCATCTGTTGTTAGCTGTGGTTTGTGGCAGCACAGTTTTCTTCATTGCCATACTGACAGTATTTGGGGCATTATAAATAACACTACAACGGACAACTTGGCCCATGTCTCCCGTGTTCAAGAACATGAGTTTCTAGGACGTACAAATGGAGCTGCTGGGTCGTAGAGTACATGCAACCTTGACTTTGCCAGATGTTGTACCTAGCACTCCTCAAAGTGTTTGTGCCAGTTTACACTTCCATTGGCAGTGGAGGATAATCCCCATTTCCCTGCATCCTTGTCAAACCACAGGGTGAAACAGCGTTTATCCCTGTTTAAATTTTATTACCGTGAGAGTTAGTACAGTTGAGCATCTTTTCAGATATTCTTTGGCCATTTGACTTTTAATAGGTTTTTTACTATATCAAAGTTAGTTCAATAATTTAGAGCCATGGATTTCTATGAAATTCCTTATTCTTTATTTACTAATTTTCTGATATTCATATAATATTGCCAATTTTCAGTTAAATTTTTAAAAAGTAAGAAAGTGTAAAAGTTTGCTTAATTAGAGGAGTGTGTGTTAAAACTCTCATTTGACTTCAGTGCAGTGATTTACCAGTTTTTTAAATATGCCAGCTTAAAATAAGTGGCTACTCTTGGAGCCAGAGGAAGTATATGGGGAAATTAGTCTTTGTTTCTAACCACTGAGGCATCTATCTGTGTGAGATTCATGATGTGAGTTAATTTTTTAAACAACAAATATGCAGTGTACTAATTTGAGCTCATATTTCCAATGGGAATCAAATTCAGTCTTTTTCCCCTGCCTTTACTAATTCACATTTCAGCAGCATTTAGTATTTTTGATCACTTTCTTCATCAAGTTTCCTCCCACTTGGTTTATAATACTCTACTCCCCCTGGTTTATTTGGTATCCATCCAACTAAATGTTTAGTGAACACCTGACAGTCTTCGCTTTCTGAAAATTGCAATTAAATGATCTTAAAGTAGAACACATAATTGTATGCAGGCAGGGTGATACTCACGCTAGTTAGTACTCAAGCTAGTTAAATCAATGGCACCAACCAATCTGAAGAGAAGCCAGCTGTAGACAACTGCTCTAGCTGGACCAATGAGTCCCAACAGAACAGCAGCCTTGAGGATACAGTTTTTATGAGCTATATTTAAATACATGCTTTTGACTGTATATGTAATTGATTTATATAGATATACTTGATTATATATGTAGTAGAGCTGTTACATGAATAGAAATACTCTATACTGAAAATACAACTCACTTTGTTATTTTCTTGAGGCAATATCAGTTTCAGTATTTTTCTCCCCAAAGCATGTCCTCATTCACTCTCCTTAACCACCAACAGTCTGCTTGTGGCTGCTACCACACGAATGAAACTGCCTTGACAAGGATGACCTCACTGAGTGGATTTTTTCAGACCTTTCTCTTGGTTGATCACCCCAAGCTTCTGAAAGTTCCTCCTCTGTCTCGCATAGCTCTGACTGCTTACTTCTTTGACGACACCTTCTGTTCCTTTAACTGACTCTAGTTATTTCCATCCTGGGAAGTACAGACATTTCCCGCAGTTCAATCTTTGGAACTCTTCTCTCTGCTTTCTTCTCTTTGGCAATTTTATTTCACTCCTGTGATTTAAACCTAATCTATCTCTATGGAACTTCTCTTCCAAGTTCCATACGTGTATTATTTCCAATACATGCTGAGTGATTTACATTAACGATAGTCACTGGGACTCATGGCAACACTCTCATTTATCTGACAGGAATTTCACAATACAAAGTTGAGGGAGAGAGAGAAGTCAAGATGGCGGCATAGGCAGACTCTGAACTCACCTCCTCTCGTGGACACAGCCAATTTACAACTACTTGTGGAAAAATTACCCGAGACAGAACTGAAAACTGGATAAGAGGAACTGCTGCAATAAAGGACAATCCTAATTGAGGTGGAAGAGGCAGAAACTCCCTTCTGGAGAAGAAAAACGCTGCCTTCACAAGCCACAGAGCTTCATGGCCTCCCTCCCTGGAGGAGCGGGGCCCTGAGCCTGGGAGGGCTCCCGCTGTAGGCATTTTGTGGACCCAGCACAATCGAGATGAGTGGCATAATATCTGACTTTGCCTGCTACTAAAACATTGGGGAGTACCCCCAGAAAAGCTGGTTCACAAAGAAAGTAAAAGCGGCTCTTA